CAAATATGTGTATAGTATAGCAAGCTAATTATATGTATACAAAATTTAAGGATACAGTATAGAGGTAAGAATGGAATTGTTAGTAAACATATGCAATGAAATTTTTAAAATTACAAACTCTGACTAAGTTTAGTACTTTACAGTATAATGCAACAATAGCTAACCTCCAATACTCTCATCATTGGTAATTGTTGCTTTAATTTAATTGTTTCCTTATAATAAGTACAAAATATCAATTAATTACATCCAACCGTCTGGTAGATGAATTGCATACCTTTTCTTTACTACTGATAGCACCTCTTAGTTTATATTCAGTTTCTTTAAGTATGATATAAGAAATAACCTAAAAATACATACATAAAAACTTAAATGCAAAACAATTATGTCTTAAATTGCACGGGCATAATTATGATTAAAAATGTACACTGACATCTGTATGTTGTAATGAATCTTGATCCTTTTCTTTTAGTTCCTGTACAATGTAGTCAACTATTAATGTGCAAATATACAGGTACATGTACCTTTTGTCTAACATCTTGTCTCCTCCATAGTGTTAAGTTACCAATAGTCAGTTTCTTTAATCTTTGTCCCATTAGTATATGAATATTCTCTATCATCCTCAATACAGTAAACCCAACATCAGAGAAAGGAAAGGAGCAAGTGACAGATATTGAAGTGGAGGATCCTATAAACTTAATGATCAGCAATTTACCAGACACTTTAGATAAAACGCCCTTGATATCCTGCAGCACATGTTCCTTAGGCTCCCAGTCAAAAATAAAAGTAACTGTTTCACATTTCAGATGAGAAACAGAGTCAAGTATTTTGTCTAGACAAAGACTAACTGAGATTGATTTGTAGAATTCCTTTAACTCAGCTCTATATGTCTCAATGTGTTCCCTTGCTTCAGTTATCTCCATTTCTTCTACTATGCTATGAAGTAGTTCAATGTTAGTCAGTGAACATTCATCTTTAATATGACGAAGGATGCTAGAAACATCTGAACAATGCTCTACTTTTTTACTAAGGGAAGTGCTATAACAACAGAGGAACTCTTTGATGTCATCTGCATCCAATTTCTTCTTTAAAAACTTGCAAACATTATACAACATCCTTGTGTAAGAAGCTTTTATTGAGCTATACTCCACAGATAAATGTTGAGGAACAGGCACTTCAACTAAAAATAGTTTCATTAATAGCAGTTATGTTATGTAATCAAAATACTACCTTGAGGTGACAATGGTTGTGAAGATGAATTACTAGTAACTTCAGTATCACCAATACTACCTACAAAAGAAAAGGACAACTACAATAAATGAGCCATTTGTACATGCATTACTGAGATAATACATACCAGATTGGGTTGTCATGGTTTCATTGGCAGTAAAAAATATTAATGAATGCATTATCAATTAATTAATAATTATTACCTTTTGGAGCTACATCATGATCTTTCATAATCTGAGGAACAGCACCTACTTCAGGAATAGGAAAATACTTACCTAAACACATAATAATAAGGATACACTGATTAGTATTGGTTTATACTAAATTCACAGACTTGCGTTTCGCACCACACACGACCTCATACTTAAAGATATTTATTGACAAAACACATAACTTGGTAAAGGTTATACAATGAGGTGAGGTATCTATGGCATTTATCATACCAAGGGCCATAGGCCCGAGAGGTATGATATGGCCATAGATACCGACACAGAGTTGTATAACCGACTTCTACTATGTACTAATAAAAACAACTAGTTTACTTAGCAACACTTAGCAACAGCATGGCATGCATGCCTATTTTAAGCAGGAGGTTAATAAGTAATTCCCCCCAGGGCAAACTTATTAACCTCCAGGGCCACTTATTTACCT